CTATTAAAACAGTGATGATCACTTATGGTCCCACTCTGAAATTAGTGTTTGGATGGATCTGAATATACCGAATGCTTTATTTTTCTTTGAAGGATCATTAGTGCTGGGCTCTCTACAGTTGCTAATAACACCTGCCTGCCTAGAATCATCCATCTTGAGTGAGTCACACATTTTCCTTCCATCTCACGCTCTGCCATACACAGCAGAATGTCACACATTAACTCATTTGCAGGACAGCTGCCACCAACCTCCAATTCCCACCCCCAATGCTACTCCGGGGCCCCTGTAGTACTTCTTATGGCTGCCTGCAGCAGCCCCTTCCCGAGCACGTTGCTTCCTCCTCTTCCTGATTTACAAGTGCTCCATCTCTTCTCATAACACACACGCTCCAGGCCAGTGCTGTCGGTACTCCAGGCACTAGGCCCTCCAGGCTCAAGCCCTCCATGGGTTCCCATAAACACTCAGGCTTTCACAGCCCCCTTACGAGAGGGGCAATTCTTCACCACACAACTTCCACAAACCTTAACACTTTCTGTCAGGAGTTCCCCAAGACCTACACACACTGATTGCAGGAGTATCTTGTGCCCTGGCATGAGGGCAAAGTTCTTCAGCCCTCGGTTGCACCTCTAGTTGGTGCCTAAGCCCTTCTTCTGCTTCAAGCTCCAGCTGTGGGACCACAAGTTATGGAGCACTTGCCCACCCTCAGACTCCGGACTGTTATGCTTTACGTGGCCCAGGGCTACTTCAGACTTCTCGCACAGACTTCTCCTGCTGGGCCGCCTCAGACAGCTGCAGCCAATCACAATCCCAGCTTCTCCCTTAGAACAGGGTGTCACTGTGCCTCAGTGGGTCACAACTGAAAATACCAAATTCAGGACAAACTGCTTCGAAATAAGACAGATACACCCCAAAACTGGTGGTTATTCTTCCATAAGATATACCAAACCAGCAACAAAAGTAAATTTCTGTTGCACCACACTGGCTAACAAGAAGTCAGAAAAGCAGCCTCCTTTGGGATTCCAGTCCTTGTATCACTGCCAAAATCACTAGACTTAATGGTGAGTGTTTATTTAAAATAAATTTAATCAAACAAAAGGGTTCTTTTCTTCTGATCCCAAAGGACCAGCCACATACCCAGGTTAATATACAACTCAGATCTTACCCACTAATCATGCTGTTGCCAATCATTTAGTATCTAAAGGTTTGTTTATAAAAAGGAAAGAAACATGAGAGTTAAAATTGGTTAAAGGAATCAAATACATACAATAATTGCAAAGTTCTTGGATCAGGCTTGTAGCAGTGATGGGATAAACTGCTGTCTTAAGTCAAGTCTCTGGTTGCTTCCAAATCATTGGAAGGTCATAGAATCATAGATTATCAGGGTTGGAAGGGACCTCAGTAAATGGTACAACAGGGACCGTAACAGTTAAGAAAAGTGGTGAGTAAACCAAACTACACATGGATTTGGAGATTTTCAGTCCAGAAAGGACCATTACTTCATCTTGTCTGATATCCTGTATAGCCCAGGCCATTGAATTTCACCCAGTTCCCCTGTACTGAGACCAAAGCTTGCATTTGATTAAAGTAGGTCTTCCAGAATAGCACTGTGACAGATAGGGGTGGGGGTAGCACCCTTATGTAACTCCCCAGCCATTCAGTTAGCTGTAGAATCCTCCTTAGCAGCTGCACCCTAACTGCCTTACCTGTAAAGGGTTAAGGGGCAAGTTTAAAATGAGTTGGCACCTGACCAGGAGAACCAATAGGGAAGCTAGACCCTTTCCAATTGGGGAAAAAATGCTGGGTGTGGGGGTCTTTGTTCTCTGGTCTGGAGAGACAAGGCAGCAACAGGCTGCAAGCTTTGAGCTAGGTATGGAAAATCATCAGCGTCATACCTAGGAACTACTCATTTGGAACCCTAGATATGTAAGTAGCACAGGAAATGTTAGAAAGACACAATATGGGATTTTTTTCTTTTGTTTTGGTTGGTGGATTCACCTGTGCTAACCCCAGGTGCTTTTGTTTTGTTTTTGTTTGCTTGTAACTGTTAAGATGGACCCCAAGAAAGTTATTTTTGGTGTTTAATCCCTAACAGCCTGAGTTTTCAGATGCGTTTTCTTTCTTTTGCCAATAAAATTTACCTTTTTTAAGAACCTGATTGGATTTCTGTGTCTTAAGAGGTTTGTGCATATGTTTTTAGTTAGCAGGTGGCAACAGCTGATTTCTTTTTTTTTTTCCTTTCTCAGCTCTTCCCTGGAGTGGGGGGTGAATGGGCTTGAGGGTACCCAACAGGAAGGAATTTCCCAAGTGGGCCTTCCTGGGCTCTCGAAGGGTTTCTACACTTAGGTGGTGGCATCATTTACCAATACAAGGTCAGAGAAAAGCTGTAACCTTGGAAGTTTAATACAAGCCTGGAGTGACAAGTATTAATTTTGAAAGTTCTTGCGGGCCCCCACATTCTGCACTCTAAGGGTATGTCTACACTACGAAATTAGGTTGAATTTATAGAAGTCGGTTTTTTAGAAATCATTTTTAGATAGTCGATTTGTGTGTGTCCCCACCCAAAATGCTGTAAGTGCATTAAATGCATTAACTCGGCGGAGTGCTTCCACAGTACAGAGGCTAGCGTCGACTTCCGGAGTGTTGCACTGTGGGTAGCTATCCCACAGTTCCCGCAGTCTCCGCTGTCCATTGGAATTCTGGGTTGAGATCTCAATGCCTGATGGGGCTAAAACATTGTTGCAGGTGGTTCTGGGTACATATCGTCAGGCCCCCGTTCCCTCCCTCCCTCCGTGAAAGCAACAGCAAACAATCGTTTCACGCCTTTTTTCTTGAGTTACCTGTGCAGATGCCATACCACGGCAAGCATGGAGCCCGCTCAGCTAACCGTCACCGTATGTCTCCTGGGTGCTGGCAGATGCGGTACTGCATTGCTACACAACAGCAGTTTATTGCCTTTTGGCAGCAGACAGTGCAGTATGACTGGTAGCTGTCGTCAACGTAGTCCTGGGTGCTCTTTTAACCGGGCACCTGGGCAAACATGGGAGTGACTCAGTCAGGTCATTTCTCTTGTTTCGTTTCATGGCGATTGAGTCCTACCGGCAGTGCACTGTCTTTTAATCTGAAGCTAGCAGAAGATGATGGCCAGTAGTCATACTGCACTGTCTTCTGCCGAGCACCCAGGAGATGACGATGGCTAACGGTCGTACTGCACAGTCTGCTGCCAGCAAAATGTATAAAGATAGATGAAGTGGCTCAAAACAAGAAATAGACCAGATTTGTTTTGTATTCATTTTCTCCTCCCTCCCTCCCTCTGTGAAATCAATGGCCTGCTAAACCCAGTTTTGAGTTCTATCCTTGAGGTTTTGAGTTCTATCCTTGAGGGGATCATTCAGTTTCTCGCAAAGCCACCCCCTTTGTTGATTTTAATTCCCTGTAAGCCAACCCTGTACGCCATGTTGTCAGTCGCCCCTCCCTCCGTCAGAGCAATGGCAGACAATCGTTCCGCTCCTTTTTTCTGTGCGGACGCCATACCATGGCAAGCATGGAGCCCGCTCAGCTCACTTTGGCAATTAGGAGCACATTAAACCCCACACGCATTATCCAGCAGTATATGCAGCACCAGAACCTGGCAAAGCGATACCGGGCAAGTAGGCGACGTCAGCGCGGTGACGAGAGTGATGAGGACATGGACACAGACTTCTCTCAAAGCATGGGCCCTGCCAATGTGGGCATCATGGTGCTAATGGGCAGGTTCATGCGGTGGAATGCCAATTCTGGGCCCAGGAAACAAGCACAAACTGGTAGGACTGCATAGTGTTGCAGGTCTGGGACGATTCCCAGTGGCTGCGAAACTTTCGCATGCGTAAGGCACTTTCATGGAACTTTGTGACTTGCTTTCCCCTTCCCTGAAGCACATGAATACCAAGATGAGAGCAGCCCTCACAGTCAAGAAGCGACTGGCAATGGCCCTGTGGAAGCTTGCAACGCCAGACAGCTACCGGTCAGTCGGGAATCAATTTGGAGTGGGCAAATCTACTGTGGGGGCTGCTGTGATGCAAGTAGCCCACGCAATCAAAGATCTGCTGATATCAAGGGTAGTGACCCTGGGAAATGTGCAGGTCATAGTGGATGGCTTTGCTGCAATGGGATTCCCTAACTGTGGTGGGGCCATAGACGGAACCCATATCACTATCTTGGCACCAGAGCACCAAGCCGGCGAGTACATAAACCGCAAGGGGTACTTTTCAATAGTGCTGCAAACACTGGTGGATCACAAGGGACGTTTCACCAAAATCAACGTGGGATGGCCGGGAAAGGTACATGACGCTCGCATCTTCAGGAACTCTGGTCTGTTTCAAAAGCTGCAGGAAGGGACTTTATTCCCAGACCAGAAAATAACCATTGGGGATGTTGAAATGCCTATAGTTATCTTTGGGGACCCAGCCTACCCCTTAATGCCAGGGCTCATGAAGCCGTACACAGGCAGCCTGGACAGTAGTCAGGAGCTGTTCAACTACAGGCTGAGCAAGTGCAGAATGGTGGTAGAATGTGCATTTGGACGTTTAAAAGCGCGCTGGTGCAGTTTATTGACTCGCTTAGACCTCAGCAAAACCAATATTCCCACTGTTATTACTGATTGCTGTGCGCTCCACAATATCTGTGAGAGTAAGGGGGAGATGTATATGGTGGGGTGGGAGGTTGAGGCAAATCGCCTGGCTGCTGGTTACGCACAGCCAGACACCAGAGAGGTTAGAAGAGCACAGGAGGGCGCGGTGCGCATCAGAGAAGCTTTGAAAACCAGTTTCATGACTGGCTGGGCTACGGTGTGAAAGTTCTGTTTGTTTCTCCTTGATGAAACCCCCCGCCCCTTGGTTCACTCTACTTCCCTGTAAGCTAACCACCGTCCCCACCTCCCTTCGATCAGCACTTGCAGAGGCAATAAAGTCATTGTTGCTTCACATTCATGCATTCTTTTTTCATTCATCACACAAATAGGGGGATAACTACCAAGGTAGCCCAGGAGGGGTGGTGGAGGAGGGAAGGACAAGGCCACACAGCACTTTAAAAGTTTACAACTTTAAAACTTATTGAATGCCAGCCTTCTGTTGCTTGGGCAATCCTCTGTGGTGGAGTGGCTGGGTGGCCGGAGGCCCCCCCACTGCGTTCTTGGGCATCTGGGTGAGGAGGCTATGGAACTTGGGGAGGAGGGTGGTTGGTTACACAGGGGCTGTAGTGGCAGTCTGTGCTCCTGCTGCCTTTCCTGCAGCTCAACCATACGCTGGAGGGCATTAGTTTGATCCTCCAGCAGCCTCAGCATTGAATTCTGCCTCCTCTCATCACGCTGCCACCACCTTTCAGCTTCAGCCCTCTCTTCAGCCCACCACTTACTCTCTTCAGCCCGCCATCTCTCCTCCCGGTCATATTGTGCTTTCCTGCACTCTGACATCGTCTGCCTCCATGCATTCGTCTGTGCTCTGTCAGTGTGGGAGGACAGCATGAGCTCAGAGAACATTTCATCACGAGTGTGTTTTTTTCACCTTCTAATCTTTGCTAGCCTCTGGGAAGGAGAAGATCCTGTGATCATTGAAACACATGCAGCTGGTGGAGAAAGAAAAAGGGACAGTGGTATTTAAAAAGACACATTTTATAGAACAATGGGTACACTCTTTCACAGTAAACCTTGCTGTTAACATTACATACATAGCACATGTGCTTTCGTTAACAGGTCGCATTTTGCCTCCCCACAGTGCATGGCTAGTCCCTCCCCCCTCCCCGTGGCTAACAGTGGGGAACATTTCTGTTCAGCCACAGGCAAACAGCCCAGCAGAAACGGGCACCTCTGAGTGTCCCCTTAAGAAAAGCACCGTATTTCAACCAGGTGACCATGAATGATATCACTCTCCTGAGGATAACACAGAGAGATAAAGAACGGATGTTGTTTGAACGCCAGCAAATATACACTGCAATGCTTTGTTCTACAATGATTCCCAAGGATGTGCTACTGGCCTGGAGTGGTAAAGTGTTCTACCATGGAGGACGCAATAAGGCTTCCCTCCCCAGAAACCTTTTGCAAAGGTTTCTGGGGAGGGCAGCCTTATGAGCCACGAATGCCAGGGCAAATTAATCATTAAACATGTTTGCTTTTAAACCGTGTATAGTATTTTAAAAGGTACACTCACCAGAGGTCCCTTCTCCGCCTGGCGGGTCCAGGAGGCAGCCTTGGGTGGGTTCGGAGGGTAGTGGCTCCAGGTCCAGGGTGAGAAACAGATCCTGGCTGTTGGGAAAACCAGTTTCTCCACTTGCTTGCTGTGAGCTATCTAAAACATCATCATCATCATCATCATCATCATCATCATCTTCCTCGTCCCTAAAACCTGCTTCCGTGTTGCCTCCATCTCCATTGAAGGAGTCAAACAACACGGCTGGGGTAGTGGTGGCTGAACCCCCTAAAATGGCATGCAGCTCATCGTAGAAGCGGCATGTTTGGGGCTCTGACCCGGAGCGGCCGTTCACCTCTCTGGTTTTCTGGTAGGCTTGCCTCAGCTCCTTAAGTTTCACGCGGCACTGCTTCGGGTCCCTGTTATGGCCTCTGTCCTTCATGCCCTGGGAGATTTTGACAAATGTTTTGGCATTTCAAAAACTGGAAAGGAGTTCTGATAGCACGGATTCCTCTCCCCATACAGCGATCAGATCCCGTACCTCCTGTTCAGTCCATGCTGGAGCTCTTTTGCGATTCTGGGACTCCATCATGGTCATCTCTGCTGATGAGCTCTGCATGGCCACCTCTGCTGATGAGCTCTGCATGGTCACCTGCAGCTTGCCATGGTGGCCAAACAGGAAATTGAAATGCAAAAGTTCACGGGCCTTTTCCTGTGTACCTGGCCAGTGCATCTGAGTTGAGAGCGCTGTCCAGATCGGTCACAATGGAGCAGTCTGGGATAGCTCCCAGAGGCCAATACCGTCTAAGTGTGTCCACAGTACCCCAAATTTGACCCAGCAAGGACGATTTAAGCGCTAATCCCCTTGTCGGGGGTGGAGTATGGAAATCGATTTTAAGAGCCCTTTGAGTTGAAAAAAAGGGCTTCGTTGTGTGGACGGGTGCAGGGTTAAATCGATTTGAGGTCGAATTTAGCAGCCTTAACACCTAGTGTAGACCAGGGCTAAGTGCCAGAGTGGGAAATCAGCCTATGACAAGCACACAGTCTTGAAGACTGTAAGAGATGGAGAATCCATCATTTCCCTGGGCACTGTAAAGCCAGCATAGATGGCCATCTCAGGATTGCCCTGGCCAGGTGGGTTTCCCAGAATAGGGCTTTAGACCACCCCCTCCCCTACCCCGATATAGGACATGTGGCCAGGAAAAGAAGGCACAGCTGGAGCGTTGTTGTGCTCCGATAGTCCCCTGGTTAGAAGTTGGACATACACATGGCATACAGTTGTCGTTCACACCCCTTTGAGTACTATGACAAGTGGAACTCAGATGGACATAAGAATATGGGTCAGCTGTAGAGCATGACTAAACCAAACATAACCATTCTCTAAAAATAACCTAAGAATATAAGAGTGGCCATACTGGGTCAGACCAAAGGCCCATCTAGCCCAATATCCTGTCTTCCAACAGGTTTCAGAGTAGTAGGTGCCCTGGAGGGAATGAACAGAACAGGTTATCATCTAGTGATCCACCCCTATCACCCATTCCCAGCTTCTGGCAAACAGAAAAGAACACTCCAAAGGAGAGGGTTTGTTTAGGCTGGTCTAGGAGAACACAACTAGGAGTAATGGACTGAAATTAAGTAGGAAAATATAGGCTGCCATAGTTCCCTCTAAAGTGTGTGCATCTGCATGGCTGCACCCGGGCATAAGGGAATGAAAGGCTGCCAACCTAATTAGTGGAGTCGCACAACCGTGCCTCCACTAATTAGGTGCTTCCTTGACGCTGGAGAGAGGATGTGGAAGGTGAGGTGGTGGGGGGAATAGGAGGTGGGTGGGGAAACTAAGTTTGGGCTCTCCCAGGACTCCCAACCCCAGCTGGGCTGCGTGCAGCCGCTGGGGAGAGATGTGACTTTCTCAAGCAGCCACCTGTCTGCAGCCCTAGATGGGCTGCCTTGGAGGGGAGAGTGATTCTGTGTCTCTCCAAGCTCCAGCTGTGCTGTGGGGGCTGTGAACACCCTTTCCTGCTAGTCCTGGCCCCTGCCCTGCTGAAAGTGGCTGGCAGCTGAGCTCAGTAACTCATGGCTTCTAGATCACTCAGGTGCTCTTCATTAGCCTGAGCAGTACCTGCCATCCAGGCTCCCGTTGGGGCAGCTGGGATGGGGTTGGGAAAGCAAATCCAATTCCTGCAGGCAGAAGGTAGCTGTGAGAGGGGGGCTGGGCTCCCTCAGATGTCATTCTGTGAGCTAGAAATGGAGCTGCCTCTGCCTACTGAGTACCCCTTGCACAATCATAGAATATCAGGGTTGAAAGGGACCTCAGGAGGTCATCTAGTCCAACCCCCTGCTCAAAGCAGGACCAATCCCCAACTAACTCATCCCAGCCAGGGCTTTGTCAAGCCTGACCTTAAAAACTTCTAAGGAAAGAGATTCCACCACCTCCCTAGGTAACGCATTTCAGTGCTTCACCACCCTCCTAGTGAAAAAGTGTTTCCTAATATCCAACCTAAACCTCCCCCACTGCCACTTGAGACCATTACTCCTCGTTCTGTCATCTGCTACCACTGAGAACAGTCTAGATCCATCCTCTTTGGAACCCCCTTTCAGCTAGTTGAATGCTGAGGAATGAGCTGACTTGGGGGAGGAACTGGGGGCAGAAGCCCAGTCGTAAGGGCTGGCAGTCACAGGCTGGTTGCAGCCTCTTTCCTGTGCCTGCGGTGTGGGCAGGGCCATCCTTAGGCAAATGTAGCATGCACAGCTGCATAGGGCAACACCAAATTTGGCGCACCAGGTAGTGGCGGTACCCTATGCTGCATATGCTTAAGGCCACCACCGGCTGCGGGCAGCTCCGGCAGCCCCATTCCCTGGCCCCCCACCCCCGTCTCCACCTCCTGGCCCCGGCATCCCCAATTCCCCGGCCCCCAACCCCCTGCTCCGCCTCCCGGCCTGCAGTTCTGATGGGCTGAGCCGCTCCCCCTTCCGCCTGCTCCTCCTCCCGGCCCACAGCTCCAGCCAGCTGCGGCATTCTCCCTTCTGCCTGCTCCACCACCCCCCAGCCTCCCTGCCCTCCATAGCTCCTGCCACTGTACCCCTGAGGGCAGCCCGGGGTTGTGGGTGCGGGTGGTCGGACTGTGTAGGGCACCGAAAATCATGAGGACAGCCCTGGGTGCGGGGCTTACTTTGGGTCTAAGTGTTTGTACTTTCATTTGTATTTGGAGATGCTGGGCAGGAGGGAAAATAATTAAATGTCCCAGTGTCTGTCTCCCTCTGAGCTGTGATGAGGGGCAGTTCTGGGCACCAAGGTACTGACAGAGGAGGGGGCGCTTGTAGAAGAGTGACAGAAGACATCCAGGGGCTGTATTACGAGGGAAAAGCTAAATCCATATCACTTAGCTGAATGATGCCTAGGGAAAGCGTATGACAGTCCACGTCACACCACTGAGTGGGATGGCTGTATATAGCAAAGCACTGGGGGAGAGTAACTGGATGAACGTAGAAAGGGAGGGGAGCATTTAGGCAGAGCAGGAAAAGCTTTATGAGCATGCAAAAGAGCAAGTGAAAGATTATTCCACATTGACTGATCTCCTGGTGGGTGGTGGCCTGGGAAAGAGGAGAGTTCGACTCTGTCTCTCCCAGCCCTAGCTGGGCTGTGGGGGTTGGGAGAGACTCTGCTAAAGAAAAAAAACACAGTTACTGCTTACTGGAGTTAGTTTTTTTAAAAAGAATCCAAATAAATCATCTCTTCTCCTCCCCAAATCTGTCATTAAAAATCACATTTAATAACTTTTTATAACCACAAAAATGGCAATGTATTATTTATGCCTGGCTTTTGAATTGGGTAGCATTTCAGAATTGCTTAATTGGTACATAGATTAATTAGTTTAGTTCCTAAAATGAAGGCTACCTCCAACAGCTGCTTAAAATGTTTGGATTTAGCTTTGTCTGGGAACATGTATTATAGCTTTGAAGTTTGATTTTGAAGGGCCAAAATCCATTAACGTGTACGTAAAAACGTAGCCATAGTCTCTGTCTAAGAACTTTTCACACAGGCCCAAATTCCACAGCTTGGTCTGAGGCCTGGGGCCTAGCTAACAATGAACAATATCTGGCTAAGAAAAACAGGAGACAACCTCGCTTTGTTTCAACTAGATAAGCAAAGTCAGCAAAACTCCAGATGGGGAATAGTAATTGAGTGTTATTATCATGAGTTACAGACACACAAAGCACTAAGAAGAGCCTCAAAGTCTACTCCTGATGCAGGAAGGAGATAGTGAACACCATCCCCAAAGGCCTACCAGGGTTCAGGGAGAGGCCCAACATGTCAGTATGAGATATGACATCCACCCCCTTCACAGCTGCCTACTCTAGTTCTCAGAAACACAATGGTGAACCCTAAAACAATTACTATTTTTTGTGTACTTTTCACTGTCTTTTTGCTTTAAACCCCCAGGAATGTACCTGTTGGACAACCGGAAGAGCTACCTCATTCCTATGGACACCAAAATCCAGGATTTAACCTACACTTTGCAACAGGAATAGTTTGAGGGAAACTATTAATACACCTGTGTATTAGCAATATGTTAACCTGAGCCATGGGCGGGGCCATTATGTAATCTTTTAGACTACTGGTTTATTGTGCTAATCTTGTCTTGCTGCTAGAACCTATCCAGGGGCTCGGGACCTCCCACCCCATCACTTCTGTCCACCCATGAGCACCCTATATAATCTATTGTAATCAATCGTTTAGCAGTGTCTCTGAGTCTAATAAGCAAAGTGACACTCCGCCAGAGCTGTGTGCAATAAACCCTCGTGCTTGACTCTACACGGTGTCCATTTCTGTTCCTTCAGATTTGCAGTATCACTCTTCTGTTTTCTAACCTGCCGTTTGTCCCAGTCCCAGCTCCAGGGTTGCAGTACCCAGGAGAGATGCTTTTCTTAATGGAAATCACTTGGATTCCAGACATGTGATTTCCATTAAGGTTTCAAATTTGTTTGGCGAGAGGTATTGGAAACCGTTAAGGCCAGTTCTTTGCTATCTGCTACAGTTCTGGCTCTTCAGAATATTCCCATTGACTCATAAATAGTAAGCACTAGGGGTTTGATGTTAGGTGCTTTGTAGGATGATATTTTGCAAGCTCTTTGGGGTCTGCCTGCAAAGCAGGGGTCTGTCTGTGAACTCCGGTGCCATGTGTTAATGTGCTCTGTTTGCTTAAGGGGCTTGTAAAATCTTAATGAGCCTGTCATAAATATAAAGGGAAGGGTAAACACCTTTAAAATCCCTCCTGGCCAGAGGAAAATCCCTCTCACCTGTAAAGGGTTAAGAAGCTAGGATAACCTCGCTGGCACCTGACCAAAATGACCAATGAGGAGACAAGATACTTTCAAAGCTGGGGGGGGAGAAACAAAGGTTCTCTCTGTCTGTGTGATGCTTTTGCCGGGAACAGAACAGGAATGGAGTCTTAATCTAGCTAGATATGCGCTAGATTCTGTTTTGTTTAAATGGCTGAGAAAAATAAGCTGTGCTGAATAGAATGTAGATTCCTGTTTTTGTGTCTTTTTGTAACTTAAGGTTTTGCCTAGAGGGATTCTCTATGTTTTGAATCTGATTACCCTATAAGGTATTTACCATCCTGATTTTACAAAGGTAATTCTTTTACTTTTTCTTCAATTAAAATTCTTCTTTTAAGAACCTGATTGCTTTTTCATTGTTATTAAGATCCAAGGGTTTGGGTCTGTGTTCACCTATGCAAATTAGTGAGGATTTTTATCAAGCCTTCCCCAGGAAAGGGGGAGTAAAGGTAAGGG